CCCCAAAACCCCAAAACCCCAAAACCCCGTGAAAGTAAAATTTTAATTTTAACTTAAATATAAAATGTTTGTATTGAAAACTGCAATTTTTAATAATTCAAATTGGCAAGAGGTTTAAAAATGAAAATCTAAATTAGAATTTTATAAAGCATGATAATTACCACACATCAAAATGAATGAATGGTTTCATAAACTATTTGATCTTCAGTCACAAAAGCATTTTTGATATTTTGCTAAAGTTTCATGATTAAGATATAATCTCCTGATTCTAGATAATTACAATCAACTTTTGTTTTTATATTATGAATGCATTAGTTTTATTCCAATTACCCAAAACTATACTCTGCTAATTCGTAAAACATTAGTTATTCATAATCATTTATCTAGAGACTTGAGTTTAGCTCGCACGCAGCCAAGACAATTCTGATTGTGCCACTCGTAAAATTTTGACTATTTTATATTTTATCTATTTTAAATTCAACTTATTTATAATTGTTCTTCGTTTGGAAGCCAGTATTACCAATAAATTCCAAACCTTTCTTAAAGACTTTTTACCCATCAAAAACTCTAGCATCTGTTCTAATCCATTTTTCTTTAGATAAAGTATATAGTTTAAGTGAAAGAACATGAGGTTTTCCATATTTACCCTTTTTTAATTAATCTACTTTCTTTCGAACATTGTGAAAATATTAATTGGTATCTAGAGACTAATTAAATTAGTATCTAGCAAGTATATACCCATTTGCACTTTTATACCAATTATTATCTTTTGTGGGATCTTAAGGAATAGCCCATAGTTCCATTTTTACTAAACCTGAAGGTCCATCTAATTCGTTAGATATTTTATCAGCTCTCAATTCAATTTTACCCTGATCCCTTTCAAAAAAGCAGCTTACTTTTCCTTCAAATTTTACACTTGCTAGATTGCTAAGAGATTTTTATTTAAGTTTTTAAGGAATTGATTGCTTAGATGGTTTAGAATAAATTAAAACGGACTAGTTTTAAACTATAGAGCAATTAAGCGATTGGCTAGGCATGGATGAAGGAGTTTGTAATTATAGTTCTTCTTCATTTAGCAGTTAAAGTGCCTTAGAAGCAGTAATTCTTTTATTTTTGTCAGGCTCTATCATTGCCTTTATAAGCATGATAGTAACCATACTACACCTTTTTGGATTAGGCTATTTAGCAGAAACGATGTCTTTTTAGAAATTGATTGAACCTATTGAATTTACAAATGGCTATTAAAGTTCTATCAATTCGTAAATAATGCAGCCTAAAGCCCAAATATCAGCACTAGAATCGTATTACTATCCTTCTAAGATCTCTGGAGCCATATAGAGTCTAGAATAATCTTAGCTTATTGGTAATTCATTTAAGCTGAATTTAGAAAATCCAATATCTCCAATCTTGACAATATTTTTTGAATTTATCAAAATATTGCTAGGTTTTAGAGCTTTGTGTTTGATTTTATTTTTATGGCAATATTTTAGTCCTTTAAGAATCTGCTTTACTAAAGCTATAACTATTTCTTCATTAATTGTATATTTGCCTAATTTAGCCATGTAAATCATCGTTTCTAAGCTTCCTTTTTCACAATATTCCATTAAAATATAGGGAGGATTAAAGCTGTAATCATAGTATTTCAAAATATTCTAATTTTCTAGTCATTGCAAAATATTAACCTCTTGAATAATTGATTTAATATCACTCTAGTTGAATTCTTTTAATGCATAGTTTAATTTGTTAGAGATTCTTTGAACCAAATAAACAGTTCCTAATGATCCACTTCCAAGGGCTTTTGACTTTTTGAATTTAGTATTCATTTAATGTAAATAATATTGATTTTATTGAAATAGGTTTGTATTTTATTGATAAAAATTAAAATTTGATATTTTTAATTTTCTAGCAAATTAAATATCCTGGGGTTTTGGGGTTTTGGGG